TTTATTCGAGCTGGTCTCCATTGGCGGGAGACAAGAAGGCCGTCATTGCTTAATCATGTACTGGTTGGTAGAAGATTGGAGAAATACGATCAGAAGTATTCTTGTACATTATATGGACGTTTGCATATAGACTTTGGCACTGATTAACCACTGTAAATCTGTTTCGTTATTGCTTGACGAATAAATGATCGTGTTGCGTATTAAGCTTAGTCTTCTGAAACCAGTGATAGGTCCAGAATCTCTGCTATCTGGATATTTGACAGAAGCTTTCGATAACTAGCAGTCATAACCATCTCGTCCATTGGTTTCATCAGACATTCATTTTATATGTCCTGTTTTATAGATAGGTGTATCTTATGGAGTAAATCAAGTAGCATGCGTAAAGCAATCGATTTTTTCTGCGAAGTGTGTCACTATTTTGTTAAACAATTTTGAAATGTACTTAAGAATAGCCTCTAACGTGAACAGACTACAGAAATAAGAAACTAGCATAATTTTCGCTTACTGTTCAGTCTTACAATATGGTCACCTTTGTTCTGTTAACCTTTGTAATAAATCCCTGTAATTACTGAACTTAGAAATACAATTTTGAGCCCCTGAGTAAACACATTAGTTTGGTCAAGTTGGCTGGTGACTGTTTACAAGCTCAAAGTTTTGGTCGTGTCAGCTGTCCTGTTGATTGACGTCATACTGAATTACAATATTTATTGGTCACATTGCAAGCTTTTCAGTCAGACTCCAATCAACACTTAGAAGGCAAAATGCACATTAATCATCGTTCAGTAACCTATCCTTATGGTCTGTTAATATTTGTCTTGGCCCCGATATATGAAATAGCCAAATACGTACCGTCTGATCGAATAACATTTCTTTGTTTTTACCTTTAATTTTATAAATGTGTCTGTTTAACCGAATCGGTTAAACTAGTAAATTAAGACACTTAAATAAATTCTTTGGTTTTTGTGTGTTTAAACAGATTACTCATGATATATATTTACACCTGTTAACATACTGATATCTCTGTTTAAGAGCTCTGATTTCAACCGTCATGTTAATTCAGTGTTATACAAAAGTCAAATTACCTGTATACTATACACCATTTCATTTAAGACTAGTATTCTTATGTCATTAGTGTTTACTTAGTAATTTTTTATTCCGTTGGGTTCCGAGTGAAACACAAGGCTTCAACAGTAAATTTCCATATAATCTTGTTCTTTGCAGTACTCTTTAGCTGGCTTCACGATTGCTCATATGCTGTCGTCTCCTCCAAGTCACCCTCGGACGTCTAACTTGCCGCTTCCCACTTGGGTTCCACTCGGTGATCTCCTCAGCTTGTGTCCTATCCATCTCCACTTTCTTCTTTGGTACATTTGTTGGGCGATAGGTTCTCAGTTGGTTCTTAATCTACCAGATTTCCTTGTTTTTGAACAAAGCAAGAACTACAGTTTTAGCACAATAAAATGGTACCATCTTTTATTTCGTTGCCTTCTCGTCAGTTGCTTACAGGGCAAAGACATTATTAAATGTATCTATGAAAACAATTTTAACATACTTGCACAGAGTTCCTTTTAAACAAAAATCAGTCAATGTATGCATACAATGCTAATAATAATAAACACTTTATCTCGAACAATAATGATCATACACAATGGAAACTTTTCAGCATTTCGCATTCGGATGAAAGAGAGATGAAAAATATATAGTTACTAGCGCAAAGAATGACTGATAACCGCTTCCTTCTGGACGCATAAATCAGGTTTCAGGTGCTTGATCGAAATGGCTTCAGCGAACTTAAGGAGAATTGAGCTCTTTTGCCTACTGATAATTTCGAACGACTTTTCCACGTCCACTTGATGACCACTGTCAAGAACATGCCTGGCGATGGCACTGTTTAAAGCATTTGTTCCCTTTAGACATAAGCTTTTTGGTACATGTTTAGAAAATCGTAGATATGCCCTTCTTTCTGTTCTTCCAATGTAACTGCTCCCGCAGATACATGTAAATTTGTATATACAGTTGGAGTTAGCATGAGAAGGATATCTATCGATTTCTGATTGCACCAAAGGGGAACAAGTTGTTTGACAAACGGGAACGAGCTTAGCTGCAGGATAGGCTATGGCTAGTGATGTGCTCAGCCTTCTGTTTATCATCGCTGCAATGTTTTCACCTTTATAATTAAGCTGAAAGTAGATTGGCTTTTTTCTTACTGTGATTTGTTTTTCATTTGCGACTTCAGATCTTCCATATTTGTTGATGAACCTTTGAGGGTACCCATTGCTCTTCAATGTCTTTTCAAGAAACTCAAATTCTTCCTCTAGTTTCTCTGTAGAGTATATTCTTCTCGCTCTATAGTACAGAGTCTTTACCAGTGCTCGTTTATAGTTATTTGGACAAAAGCTATTAGAATGTAAGTATTGTCCTTTCCATGTGGGCTTTCGATAAATTGACTTTTGAAGACTACCGTCTTATAGGCGTTCCATGGCGATGTCGAGGAAGTGGAACTTTCCGTCACTTTCATGTTCCATGGTGAACTCAATATTGGCGTGTGCATCATTGAATAATCTTAGTAAGTGTGAAGCATGACTTTCATTTTTGCACACTATAAATGTGTCATCAACATATCGACAGTAGGAAGTTGTTTCGTCGATTGCATGCTTCAACTTTGATCTTTCAAGGTTGGACATGATTTTTTTGTTTCTGATCCTTTCTAGTCATTTGCTTTTCAATGTGCAGCCAGTGAAGGTGACTACTGTTGATAAAAGTTTGCAGTGTCCTTTTCGAAATGCTTTCGGTAAAACGCTAAGTCTCTGAACCATATAAAAGCACTAATTCGACATTAGTGTTGAGAATTGAAATCTCGTTATTTATGCTGAATGCAGAAGATTTCCAGACTGATTTCTGATTAGTGAAGGTGCATCTTGCTTTTCCGATCCTACCTTTGACATCTTCATCCCTTCCACCTGTAGTTGAAATGACGCCGACTAGATAAGTGAAAGAAGTAGCTTCCTTCTCAAATTTCTCTCATGGATGGTAATTGATGTTTGCTGCTATTGGTAGTATAATTTCATCACATCTGTCTTCTCTTTGTTCACTTGAAGTTCTGTCTTCTTTGTCTACCTCTTCTGCCAGTCTGTTGGCTTTCGCTTGTAGATCTTCGAGTTTGTACGGCATTAAACAGAAGTCGTCTGTAAAGTCCATATCTTCTTGTCGACTCTTGGGCCGCTGTGGTAGTATGTGATTCCATAGTAATTTGTTTATTAAATGTATCACTCATTGAAACAGTATTATTTACTGGATAACCTTCTGAACACCAGTTATTGTTCATAATCTATATCAACCCTATCAATAATTGATGTGATTATGAACAATACTTTGTGTTCGAAATGTCATCCAGTAAATAATACTATCTCATTGTGCAATATATCTAATAAATAAATTAATATGGGGTTCTTGTAAGACCAACGTACTCCTGTCTTCTCGCTACCCACGGTGCATTGCATAATCCAGTCTACCACGATTGGGAATATCATCGGTGATGGTAGGCAGCATTCTTGTTTTTTTATTCCTGCTTTCACTTTGGAGACATCGCTAATTTTTTTCGTTGTAAATCACTCTTTACATATGACATCGTCATATAGCTGTTGATTGAGGTTGATAAAGATTTGTGGTACTCCGTAGTATTGGAGCAGTTTCTAAATCACTTCACGGTTAGCACCTGCCTAAGGCTTTTTGACTGAGTTTATTCTACTGTAATTCTAATATGCATATGATTTTTATTACAATATTATGTAAATTGAACACCTTGAGCTGCAATCTGCAGATGTTTGGCATGCAATTTGCTCCTGCTGTCAAATGTAAGATGATGCTACAGGACTGGACTACATTGACTCCTAGCTTAGAAATAGGGAGTGAAGTGGTAGAGTGTGTTGACCACTTCACTTATTTGGGAAGTTGCATCAGCCAACGCCAGCACGTTGATCGCTGAAGAAATCTCAGCATAGGTACGGAAGGCTCGTTTCGCATATGCTCGCCAACTTACGCTATCTCTGGCTTAGTAGACGTGATATCCGGTTGGTTGGCTGGCTGACTGTCGACCAAAGGGCGTGTGTACTGATCAGCAGTTCGCTCTGTCCCGCTTTATGGCTGTGATTGATACCTGGCCATTGAAATTGGAAGATATGAAAAAGCTGGTTAGCAGCTGTTTTTGATCGATCATAGATGTCACAGTTCTATCTCCCGTGTTAAGTGGTATAATAGGGTGAACAATATTGAGGTTAGGTGTTGGTCGAGGGATAGGTAAGGAAGGAGGAGAAGATATCAATTGACGGGGTTGTGAAGTTGCACTGTTTGAGATGGTTAGGACATGTATTATACATGCATCACTAACCATCGCCTGCTTCTATAATCGTCAATGTTAGCTGACTGACATAGGATGGATCAGGTTGGAGAAGAGTTAGCTAGTGGTGGTCGAACCAAAATATGGCTTCATCAGTCAATGAAATCCACAACAGTTAGTTCAAGCCAGACAGCCAGTTACGCGTGGAGGTGTAGACTGCTTGACTGACTGGTTGGGGTCCTTGGGATGGTAAGAACCAATGGTAGTGGCTGGAGACAATTGGCGATATGGCTCACAGTAGTTGTCAATATCCGGCGCAATGCGTTTACTCTTTATGATTTATAATATGCAATAGAACTATATTGTTCTTCCATATTACTATTCTGTTTTGCCTCATATTTCTGTTTATTATATCTCTTTTGAACCTCTTTTTAATTTCTTCTCTTTCTTTGTGTGCTTCGTAAAGTGTGGCGTCTCTTGAACTACTGTACATTGGTGCAAAGTTCTACGTTGAAACCAGTCAGTCAGTCAGTCAAATTACTCGTGACATATTTGAATTTTAAGATTACCTAGTATATATGTATGTGTTATGTCCACTCTATTTCTGATGTTTGTTTTATCCCTGTATTTCTTTTGTGTGTTATTTTGTTTTTCTCTCTAATAGAATCGTGGTGGTCCAGGTGGTTTAGATATGAATGTTCGATCGGTTTGGGCGCGTGGTTATACAGGTCAAGGTGTTGTCGTCACAATTCTAGATGATGGTTTAGAAACAGATCATCCAGATTTGAAAGATAATTATGTAAGTGCTATTGTTTTGCGAGTAGATTATCAGTGTATAATTTTGCTTATAGTCTACGGTAACTATTGTGTTGTTGTTTGTCTCAAATGAGGTTTCTCCTGTGTTTCAAATAACAATTAGATTATCTTACAGTTAATCTAATGGGTTTTTTTATCACTTAGTTTTTTGATGAAAGCCGTCAGTGTATGTATAGAATATCATACACAGAAGCAACTACACCTATAATGTGTTTTATTAATCTTCATTTATTTTTTTTATTACTAATCACATATATAAGCATAATGTATTATAGGTTTTTTCTTAAACTTGACAGTTATCTTCTGATAGGAATCAGCAGAAAAAGAAGAGAAGAACCCAGTTGTGTCTGTCTGAAATCGCTGTTCGTTGCTTCATTGGTTTGTGACAAAGTAGAAGGCTAATAAAGTCAATTAAATAGCTGAAAACATAACAACTAAATTCCTGTTTATTATTATCTTATCCTCATTTGTCTTTGTGTAACTGGTTAGAACTGAGTTAGAGAACAGCTGAAGCATATTCTTGTCTTAGTGAACTGAATCACTAAACGCTACATTTAGTCTTCCTAATAATTAGATGATATCTAAGAAACAATAACTATTCATCGTACCTATGTATATATTATTTAATAGATATCCTTCCGGTGACATTGATGAGAATCGGTTCTGGGAGATTAGTGTAGTAGCAGACACTTAACTCTTAATTACCTTGCGACCAGTTTGAAATAACAGAATATGATTCGTATGAATAAATTACTAGATCGACATTTCTCATGTCAGTGTTTCATTTTTCTGAAACAACTGCTGATATTCATGCTCTAATTAAAATATCTTAAATAATAATAACAATAATTTTCAAGAGTTGATTTGTAAGTATTTGATTCGTTTTGTCGAATTTGATATCAGTTAGAGAACCATTGAATACCACCAGGGAGTACTGAGCAGCTATGTCATCCGTCCTAGTTTGGGACTCATCGGCAGTACGCACCCACCGCCAGGGTTCGAACCCACGACCTTCCGGTCACAAGAAAAGCTCGTATACCATTCAGCCACTGGGAACCGATTCAATGGCCAGCCCATGAATTCTAACTTCTACCAATTCGTGATTTAGCGCGACCGCCAACCAATGTCATTGGCGGGAACTCGATCCTGACTCCCGACTGGATGGACCTCACTGGTCACGACTTCTCACTAGAACTCCAGGAAACTCCATCCTGTAGCCAGTCATGAGCTTGCCTTGTAACCGGAAGGTCCTGGGTTCGAACCCACTCTGGTGGGTGCGTGTTGCCGATGAGTCCCAAACTAGGATGAAACAGCTGTCCAGTACTCCCTGGTGGTATTCAATGGTTCTCTAACTGATAGCATCAATCCGTGGTCAAACTCGATAAATAATAATATAATATGAATATTAAATAAATGGCTGAACATTCACGTAATCGGTTAACAATACTATTGCCTTAAGGTCTTAAAAGAAAACTGTAAATAGGCCAACTTGGGCGGTTTTTATTGTTCAACATTTTCATGCCGTTAAACATTTCATTTTACTTTAACCTTATTCTTTAAAGGTTACTTCATACACTGTACATTATTATTATTATTATGTAGTGATAATACTTGAATATTAACATGCGATTGCATATAACATTCATTTTCAAGCATCTTGTTTTGCACTTAACAAATGGCATAATATACATGTTTTCTTACAGGAGTTATCAAGTTTGCCTTAACATACACATAGATATTGTGTTATTTTCAGCATCAAGTTACTTTATGTGTTGATCTAAATACATGAATTGTTGGCTTATATTAACAATAATAATAATATTTTCATTTTATTTTTGTTTCAATTTTGACCTCAATATATACTTTTAATGCTTTAGTCCACCGTGTTAATTCCATTTGTTATATTCCTTTGTTCACCTTTCAAGGATGGACTGCTAATGCATGTTGTTATTTCAATGTCTCAAATATGGGCAAAGAAGAAAGAACAAACATTGCTGCAGAATAACATGGGTCCATTTTATTCCACTGGTTCTCATCAGCTGCATACAACCTATAATCTTTAATAAATAAAAGTCAGCTTAAAATTTAACATACTATTGTCATCAACAAGCATATTATATAAGAGTGTCATGGTGAGGTAAAACATCAGGATGACAAGATAGCTGAAGTGTGAGTATATATATATATATATCTTGTAAGAGAGAAGTTTCTAGAAAATTAATTGACAAGTTTTTTTGTTAAGGTGGTAACAAAAAATGAGTAATATTTACATAGTTAGATAAGAGAAGATCAAAATTTGGTGTGCAAGAGGTCAGATGAAAAGATCATGATGTAATGTGGTGAGTAGAGCTCATAAGGTCAGAAAAAATCATCTATTATGGAAGTCAGACAGAAGAAACGGAGCCAAGGGGGAGGGCGTTGATTCATCCCTTAATAACTCTTGGTCTTCCAACTTCTTTAACTTATCTTTTCAAGCCTACACCTGTCACCTCGTTTCTTCTGTTTGATTTCCTTTAGTGATAACTTGAAAATAAGTGATAATAAGAAACGAGGTGACAGGTGTAGGCTTGAAAAGATAAGTTAAAGAAGTTGGAAGACCAAGAGTTATAAAGGAATGAGTCAACGCCCTCCCCCCTGGCTCCGTTTCTTCTGTCTGACTTCCATAATAGATGATTTTTTCTGACCTTATGAGCTCTACTCACCACATTATATCATGATCTTTTCATCTGACCTCTTGCACACCAAATTTTGATCTTCTCTTATCTAACTATGTAAATGTTACTCATTTTTTGTTACCACCTTAACAAAAAAACTTGTCAATTAATTTTCTAGAAACTTCTCTCTTACAAGATATATATATATATGACTCACACTTCAGCTATCTTGTCATCCTGATGTTTTACCTCACCATGACACTCTTATATAATATGCTTGTTGATGACAATAGTATGTTAAATTTTAAGCTGACTTTTATTTATTAAAGATTATAGGCTGTATGCAGCTGATGAGAACCAGTGGAATAAAATGGACCCATGTTATTCTGCAGCAATGTTTGTTCTTTGCTTGCTGAAATTTATAAAAGGGAATTCTTGTCTGAAATATGTTCCACTTTAAACACTAATCGTTCCACATATTTCTTTGATAAAGAAATATCTTTATTATTCAAATGAGAATTAAAATATATATAGTGGTCAATTTATAGTTAGATGGATTGCAAATCATGACTAGAACTAACAAAATTGGATATCAGGGATGCCAAGCGGGGATTCTAACTGCGCTACATTTCAAATTAGAAGTGGTAATAAATGTACTAGTCATTAGATTCCAATGAGATTCCAATGTAATCAACCTGTTCACTTTGAAACTTTACAATTTTGAACTTGTTTTTATCACAAAATTGTTCCTTATTCACAGTGTATAAAACTTTCTACTTGTTGTCGATTCCCTTATTTCATAAACAACAGATTTTACTTTGACCGATATGGTAGAATGCTTATCAGGCACGCACATGGCCTGGGCTCGATTTTCGACCAATGTTCTCCTAAACCCTCGCCTAGTCAGTAATAATCTTGGAAAAGAGGGAAGATTAGACATGAGGCTAGCAACCCTACCACCCCTAGTGAGATTTAAAGGCTTGAAGCCCTATGTTCCAATTAAAACGCAAAAAATGAAGAAGAAATGGTGTTAGGCTGGTTAACTAAATTGTCCGCATAACACAATTGACGTTTCCAGGTGTGTTTGTAATGCCTATAATAATTTTAAAGGTATGCTTGAGCTCTGATATTATTTGTTGTTTACTCAGTATCTGTGGGTGCATTTGTAATGCGAAAATGATTATTGCTTCCTACTGTCCCTTCAACAAATCCTCACGGAATAAGGAATTTTCAATGAAATGTGTTTTGTATTTGATGCCGGTTTTATTAGGGAAATATAAGATGTAGTTATTCTTCTGAGGACTTGTCATTTAATCTACTGAAGGATTATTTTTGTTGTTGTTGGTGGTGTACCAAATCCCTGTCTAAGACCATAAATCTTAAGGAATTCAAAGTGACGAATCTGTTGTGCCAACTGTTGAAGATTATCATATTCCTAGGAACGTTTATTTCATTTATCGCTTGGTGTTTTCAGTCTTTAGTTAGTGTTATTATTCATCATCATCAGAAGAAGAAGGATTATCTTCATAATTGAGTGAATCATCCGACAGCTGACAACTTTTATTTGTCAATTTATTTTTTATCACACAACTAGTAAAACACTAAATAAACCATTATAATCTTAGATAAACGATAAGTATGGTTGTTTTTTTTCAACTATCGGTAATGTATGATTTACTTATTTATTTATTTAGCTGAGGTGTTTTATTATGTGTTAGAAAACCTCTGACAGTGATATACAGTGTGTTCTCCGCTGTAGAATTTATGTTTTTTGAAACGTGTTGACGTGGTGTCTCTGTTGTGCGTGTTTTGTTTTTTTCTCAAAACGCGTTTCTCGCCTTTTTCGCTCTCAAGTTTTCTCATTCTCTTTCAGTCTTTCCGCTGATATTTGATAATGCGTTCAAAGTTTAAATGATGCACAAATAGAGTTTCTTCTTTTAGATTACCATTTGATTGCATGCATAGTTAAGAGTTGTTGAGTGAATCGGAGGAAAAATATTTAACCGATGTAACAATTGAAATCGGAAGAACTAAAACTTTACTCACAGCTGAAATGATGTTCACTTCTTACTAATTTTTCCCTAAATCATTATGAGTTAAAGATGAGACAAAAAAAGTCGGACAGCCAATAGTGTACACTGGGTGGTAGGTAGTCAAACAGTTATCCTCAATATTCTTTTCAATATAACCTGTGCAACATCACACGTTTTGTTCAAAGTTAGAAAACCTTTGAGTTTGCAGGTGTTGTCGTTATTATGAGCAATAATAATAGAGTTTTAATTGTATATATAAGTTAAGAACTCTTGAGAAAATAACGTCATACTTTTTC